ATATATATATGTGTGTGTGTGTGTGTATATGTATATACATACTATTATAACAGCCAAACGGAGAGCTGTTCATTTTCCATTACGCCAGGGGCGTCGGAAGCTATTTTTATTGGTCCGGCCAAATATATATAATCATCATTGCATTAACATACTTCTTTTCATTAGTTTTGTCTTTGTCTATAGCTCAAAACACGCACTATTCTATTATATCAATCCTTCATACTTGTACTAAATACATTATTTAACCATTCATGCTTTATCATTTATTTGTCACCATGGGATTTCATAAATATTAACGAAGGTACAAGTAATAATATATTGCTTTAACTGTAGAAATGATATTTTTTTTAATGATGTTTTACACTAGCCGACGTATTACCATACAGCCTGCTCAGTATGTTGTAAAAATACTCGAAAAAATTTGACATGTATTCGTCTCGAACCAGGGCCATAGCTCAGCTACTACGGGTTGTACGCATACTGGTAGCCTTGACAATGTCATAGTAGTCTAGAGGAACGGGGGGTTCCCATGCACCCCCAGGATATATTTTTAACTAACATTTTTGTAATCCTCAAAGTAACGAATTTTGATATTCTCATCGAAAAAAATCCTATGGAGTCATTTGGCGCCATTCTGGCGGCCATTTTGGATTGTGAATGAAAATCTCAATACATTTGGCGGTCATATTGCCGGCCATATCGGATTGTCAATGAAAATCATTAATTTGTATAATATATTAACTAAAAATCATATCAAATTAAATGAACCTCTAAAAACATAGGCCTATGTTATAAACAGTGTTTATTTTATATACAAATTAACATTGATTTCGTAATACATTCATTGCCCAGTCATTTTGGCAGCTACATTGGTGGCCACATTAAAATAAACATCGATTACCGTATAAAATTTCACCTACATTATACAAACAAAAAAATAACCAATTTTTTTCAGAGTAATGGTGTCATTGGGAATTGATTGAGATCTATGACATTATGATTTAAGCAGGTTTGATAACATTGAAACTACAAAATATGAGAAGTCACTTTATTTATACTCAAAATTTAACGCTCTGATCCTGGTGAAAAAGCGCTTTTTAATGGTATAGGCCTAATATATGGTATAAAAAATATTTTTAAAAAAATATTAGTACAACCACGGCGGTACAAACTAAAAGCTAATGGTCAAACTCAATGACCATGATTTTCTGGCCAATGTGATTCAAGCTCCCTGTTCACAAATGCTACCTGAGTGTATTCCCCCTCCCAAATGAAATGTGGGAGGGGGAATACCTGTGCGGTGAGGAGGAGGGGTTTAAGCCACGTGCAGGCCCCTCCCCCGTTGGCGCCGCTACTGGTTGTAGGGTGGCCAGTTCCTTTCCACGCCGTCATGAAAACACAAAAACCAACAACCAAACAAAGACGGATTCAAAATTCTTTTTGCACTTCGATTTCAGTTAAACTATTATTATCATAAAAGTCCTCTGTAGGTTGATAAATGCCACTTAAAGCCTATTTTTAAGCCTAAATAATGATAAATACGATGATACTCAATTAGGCTCATGTGGCCGAATCTTGGAAAACGACCAGGTTAAAAATTGGCCAATTTTGGTATAAAAAAAAAACCATGAGCTCATACTTTTTTTTCGGACGATATTTTTGACTCCACCATTTTCCGGTTGTTTTGTATTCCTTGACACCTTCAGATCACAAGAGTCCTCTGCAGGTTGATAAATGCCGCTTTAACAGGCCCGTACACATGGGGGGAAGGGGGTGCGGCAGGTGTGTTACCTGTCGCAAATCACCCGGAAGATCCACATTTTCAGGGGTAGACACTTTAGGACACACTCTCACACGTTCCAGAAATCCATCCACCAAAATTCCTTGACCATCAAAGTAGTTTCCAACAGGACTGCCTCTAATGTGTCGTACAAGCAAGGACTTAACTGTATAAGCTTTTTGATGATGAGGAAATTGAGTGTTTTTCCCTGCCGCTTTCGTGTCA